CCTTGGTCGAGCATTAACTAGATCATATTCTGGTTTTGTTTCACCAGCAGTTGCATAGTCTATAGAAAGCTACTGTTGTTGTCCAATGGTGGGAGGCACCATGACAGAGGGTTCTGAAGGTGCGAAGGGAGGTGGAGCCTCTTCCTGGTGCGCAGGGTTGTTGTCTCCCAGTTGATGAGACCTTGCTCGAATCGTGATTGCCATGGATTGCAAAAAGGTTGAAAGGTAGTAGAAACTTTGTCGATTTCCCACAGACGGCACCAAACTGATGATGCACAAAACTGTCTTCATGCAAGATCAACAGTCAAGTATGTGTAAAGGTGCAATTAATGAGTGACAAACAAGCAATCAATGACAATTAAGAGTAAAACAGTAAATAATAGATCAATACAAGAATTTATAGTGGTTCGGTCTCGGATGACATACTCCACTTTTGGGAATGGCAACGGTGACCTATGTTCTTTATTGATGAATGATAGTACTCCGGAGAGATACAATGCTTTTGGGGAGACAGAGAGAAAGAGAACAATGAGTGTAGAAGGTGCATAGATGTTTCAGAGGCATGCCCTCAATGTTGAGAGGACTTACATTATATAGTTAGGGTAAGACGGTGACGTGGGTGAGTAGACTTCTACTACTTTGATAAGTATAGTTATGGTAGGAGATCTCTGCGCTTATCCCGATATTTACTCCCTCATGCTCCTATTCTTTCGGAGGAGGACTCTCAGTTGGATTGGACTTGATTCTCGTCTTGAGCTTGGACCTGTCTTGAGTTGGTGTGACTTGGACTTGGATTGGAGCTCTAAGGTGAAGAGGAACAAAGAGGGAGGCGCCCAAGGGGCCAGCCTAGGCGACGCCCAAGGGCTGCCAAGTCTCTTGGGCGTTGGCCTCGGAGCTTTGGGCGTTGACCTCTTGAAGTATTTCTTTCTAATGGGTCGATCCATTTTTGATTTAGACTTTCCTTCAAGCTTTCTCGGATTATTTTCATTGGATCTAGTCCAATCAAATTTGTGCTCATCATTCCTCTTTTATAATTATGAGTTTTTGACCTACACTATATAATATGTTTTAGAATTGTATAAATATAATCTAAAACAAATAATATTGTATATATAATTCCATCAGATTTTCGTCTGCGGGATATTTCTTTAGTCATGTGTTTGACTTGGTCAAGATGTCATTTACAGGATGAACGGTGTTTAATTATGATACCAAAAAGTCATTCTCTGTAGCATACGTCTTTTTTTCCAACTAATTAAAATGTCAAACTTAAATTAATGATCAATAATTATAAATAAATGAATCAGAGATTGACAATCATAATTTTTTTTTCCACTACTATAATCTTATCAGTATGTATTAACAATAGAATGAACATGTGAACAAAGCATATCTATGCTAACCACAATGACTAGTTGATTTCTTCTCCTCCTTTAATCACAAAATGGGGTTAATGTAATAGCGAAAAGTAATTTTTTAGTATTATATATATATATATATATATATATATATATATATATATATATATATATATATATATATATATATATATATATGAAAATTACGCATGTATCAAGATTGTTTATTTTATTATTTCACTCGAATTTATAATTTTTATAATTAATGGTTAATACCCAAAATTATTTACAGATATAGTATCGAAAAAAAATTTCCCTAGCATAGTGTTATCCTAATTTTTATTTTTTATTTTTATTTCAACAGTCAAAGGTATTTAGGCCAACTAATATGCCCGTCGACTATTCCTCTTTCTGGTTCGACTAAATATAGGTCATCTACGTAAAAATTAAGGTATTCAGAAAAAATAAATATTTTATAATTTGACCTTAAAAAATTATTAAAATTTAAACTTAATATATCTAAATTTATAATTTTTCCCTATTATCTCGGGGGTATACTAATTTTTATCAGTTTTTTATGGAACAAAATGATTAGAGGTATGGCGTGTTTGGTTTGGCGAAAGCGGAGGAAGAGAAATAAAAAGAACAGGTGAGAGTGAGACAGAAAGAGACCAGTAGCCAAGTCCTTCACAGAAATGCAAGTTTATCCATCAACAGTAGGAGTAAAAATTGAATGTAACGGTGATATGATGTCATTATTGATGATATAGTATCATTAACTAATAATAAAATTTTAAATGAAAAATGTGAACTCTACTTGGACTTACCTGACAGAAGAGTGAGGAGGTATTTGCTTACATGACAGGTTAGTTATTGATTTTTGTAGGGTTCATCTGTTTATTTGTTTTATTATTATTAGTTGGTGATACCACGTTACCTTGTCACATGGTATCATTGTTGTAATAAATATTTTCTCCAACAAACAATAGGGGTCTACAAATTTCGATTATCCATAAATTCTGATGTTATCGCATTTTATTCAACTCTATTAATTAGTTATTTGAAAAAATTGATTTGGCCAATGAAAGATTTTTTAGTATTTTACAAAAACAAAATAGGTAAAAATGGAAAAAAAATATATATATATATATATATATATATATATGTGTGTGTGTGTGTGTGTGTGTGTGTGTGTGTGTGTGTGTGTAATTCCTAAGAATTAAAATAAAAAACATTCAGAAACTCTAATGTTTTATTGACATTTATGACTTTTTTATTTATGATATATTGATATTCAAGACTTTCTTGTCGTATTTTATTATAATTACTAGATATTACCTGTATTTGAGAACACAAAGTAATAAAAAATGGTAAACAATAAACATATTTATATTCATATCTAAAATCAAATCACAAACATAGAGGAGAGATAAATTAATTTAAGCATCGGTTATAGTGGGGATGAGAGGTGGTGGGCGACAGTGGTGGTGGTGGTGGTAAGAGAGGGTGATGGTTTTGTGGTGGGGTGGCAATGACCGTGGTGGCTATGGTAGAGGTGGTGACGGTGGTGGCGACGGTGATGGCAACGGTGGCGGAAGTAGTGGTGGTGGTGACGGTGGCGATGGTGGTGGGGGTGATGGTTGGGGGGTAAAGGTGGTGGTAGAGGTGGAGGCGGCTACAGTAGTGGTGGTGGCAGTAATTGCGATAGTGATGGCGACGGTGACAACGACAATAGTGGTGGTGGTGGTGGCGGCGGCGATGACGATAACGACTGCGGCGGCGGTAGTCGTTATGGTGGGGCGATGGTGGTGGTGGTGACAGTGATGGCGATGGTGGGTGGTGGCGGTGGTGATAGTGGTGGTGGTTGGGGGATGGTTGTGGGGGTGGGGGTGGTGTCAACGATGATTTTGGTGGCGATGGTGGTGGCGGCGGCGACGATGGTGACAACAATGGTGGTGGCAGTGACGGCGACAATGGTGGTAGAGGTAGTAATGAGGCGATTTCAAACACTATTTTTTTTGTTTAAAGTAGTTATAAGAAATTATAAATTTCTTGAAGCATTTTTAAAAAGTCATCCAAATACATCCTTAGTGTTTTATTTTCCCTATTAAATTTAGGGTATTAATATTAGTCGTTAAATTAACTTTAAAGTAAAATTTATAACAATCTGAATCACGAAAAATAAAAATTATTTTATTTATCTTTTGAGATTTAAATTGTAAGTTATTTTATTATATAAATTTATGTATTATCAAATTTTATTATATTTTTATTAGTGCTATTGACTTATTGTGTTAATTAATTTGTATATATTATTTAATTAAATTATTAAAATAATTCAAAAATTAATAACTAAAAAATATGTATTAACTTGATTTCTTACTCAATTTTTTATTCGATTATTTTGATAAAATTCGAATAAGGATAATACATTTGATCAAATAGAGTAGATAAAAAAAAAAAATTCTTTCATGAAATATAAAATAAAAAATTGAAATACTATTATAATTTCTAGAGGGTGAACACTAACCAACAGTTCCTACGGTGAGAGAGAGACCACCAAGTCCTTCACAATAAATGCAAGTTTATCCAACAATAGCACCTACGGTGAGAGACAGACCAGTACCCAAGGCCTTCACAATAAATGCAAGCTTATCCTCCTTTAGTGGAGGCTGTGGAAAGTTCAATATTATTGTCCTAATCTTACTCCTGCTTTTTTGCAACTATTTTCCAAAGAATTCTATTCTGTCAAAATCAAGCTTATCCTCCTTTAGTGGAGGCAGTGGAAAGTTCAATACTATTGTCCTAATCTTACTCCTGCTTTTTTGCAACTATTTTCCAAAGAATTCTATTGTGTCAAAATCTGACATAAATATAATTAATTGACATTTCAGTGAGATATTAATAGATTTGGATGGTAAATAAATTAATTCGTTATATCTGTTTAATAAATAAGTCGTGTTCGGATAAAATTTGTTAAACTGTTTATCACATATTTATTTTTGTAAATAAAATTAATATAATAATAAATTAATAATTATTTTAAAAAATTAGCCAAAAAAAAAATAAAAAAATTAATACAAAAAAATAAAATAAAGTAGTAGTTTAAATACGAATGAGGAGAGATGGAGAGCAACTTTTGATAAAGCCAAAACAACCTTTTTTGTTTTTGTCATACATCGGCAAATGAAAGGATATGGGGAGAATTGTCTTACCTATAAAAGACAGTGATCTCTTATTTTTTTTTTTTTTTAACCTTGATGTCTGATTTTTATGTGAAATTTGGTTAAAAAAATTCTTTTTTTTAAGATAAATACAATTGGAAGAAAAAAAATAGTGTATTAAAATTTGTTGATATAATTTTTTTTAAAAATTAAACTGGTTAAACGAATCGTGTACAAATTTACATATTTTTTAACCGATCCATTTAATCCAACATATAACTATTTAACCGACCCATTTAACACTACTAATCAAACAATTGAACCCAACACATTTGACGCCGTCAAACAATTGAAGCTTCTTTGACTTCCCCTATGACATCTTCCTCGCCATGACAGAGACTTCAACATCATCACCAGTCATATATCAAGTACCTGGACATGCCCAGAAACTCAAAAGAAAAGCTTGATCACCATAACAATGTCTTCCTTCAACTTCTCTGATAATCTTCTTTTTCTATGCATGTTTTGCTACTTTACCCTCATCCAAAAAGTTCTCTCCCATTTACCTCTCGGCCATAACTGCCCAAACACAACTACTTACACTACGAACAGCTCATACGCAGCCAACCTGAACTCTCTCCTCTCCAATCTCACTTCTAACGCCACCGGCGACACCGGGTTTTACAACTTCACTTCCGGTCGAAACCCACCTGACATAGCCTACGGCCTCTTCCTCTGCCGCGGAGAGGTCACTGTAGATGATTGTCGAGAGTGTGTGGCGGGTGCTAGTACCGAAATTCTCGGGACATGCCCAATCGAGAGGCGATCAACGATTTGGTACGACAACTGTTTGATGCGTTACTCCAACGAATCTATCTTCTCCATTCCGGATATGTCAGTGGTTTTAATTTTAAGTAATCCTCAGAATGTTACAAATCAAGAAATGTTTAATAAGACGTTGTGGACTTTGATGGGTGACATAGCCACTCAAGCTTCGAATGATCAATCGGGGAAGAAGTTTGCGACCGGAGAAGCCAACTTTACTGCACAGCAACAAAATATTTTGGACTTGGGCAATGCACACCTGATCTGAACAATTCTCAATGCAATACTTGCCTTCGATATGGAATCTCACGTCTCCCAATAAAGCAAGGGGCGAGAGTTCTGTTTCCAAGTTGTAATATTAGGTATGAGATGTACCCCTTCTTCCAAGCTGTAACTCCTCCTGCTCCGCCCAGTTCTCCAAACAGTGAAGGTAAGCTCCAGAAGCTGTTATCTGTCTTACATTACCCAAGTCCTTTAAGTTATAGGACAAAAATGAAATTCCAGAATGGGATGTGAACTTTTTACCAAGGTGGAATTCTATTTTTGCCCAGGTTTCGTATGTTCAAGTATATATATGTCTATCTAAATTTTAATATCTCTGAGTCTGGTCATGATTGGATAGTAAATCAGAGCCTTATTTGGTTGGATCATGTTGTGTGTCTGATGTAGGTGGTGGAGAGTACTGAAAAAAATCGGCTTAATAACCAGTGTGTTATACCCATAATTTGTTCAAGGGAAAATTTCATTTAAACCCCTTATAATTAGGTCTAAATTCGATAACATTCTCTCCTGATTTTGAAAACTTTAATGTCACCCCCATTAAGTGCTTATCGGGTTAATCCCCGGTAAATAAACCTAATTTTACCAATATTTCTGTAAATAGACTTAATTTTAACAACATCTCCTTCGGATTTCGAAATTTCAATGCACTCTTTTTTAGTTTTATTATATTAGCCTTTAGATTCATTAATTTAATATTTAACCATATCAAATTAATTTTATTAAAAAAATATTTAAATTTATTCAATTAACATTAAATTTTATCAAATTAACACCAAATTGATATTTAAATTTATCAAATTAAGATCAAATTTATTTAATTAATATTAAATTTTATTACATAATATTTAATTTATATATAAAGGGTGATATGTGAAGAAGAGTAGTCGGGTGACGTTGTGGTGGACAAACGATAACAGAGTAGTTAAAAATTGATGGGATTTTGACATTGACTTTATCTATTGAAACTCCATTATGTAATTTTTGCATGATAACTTTGTTATAATATTAGTTAGTAATAAATCTTTGGACCAAATTGAAATATGAAAACGAGTAATAAAGGGCTATTGCATGTGTACAATAGATACCTCATAATCGAGTGACCCAACTAAACATCTATTGCATTGAAAACATGCAAATTAATGACTTTATCTATTGTACCTTTGTTATAATATTAAAGATCGATTATGATAAAATACAATAGCCCTAAAAGATGTGGACAATAATCATTAATTTGCAAAGCTACCAGAACTGAATCAGAAATTTCAAAATTTCTGCTTTGAAATTTGCCTTATTACCATTTGACACTTTGTGTAAAATCCTATCTTTCGGTCTGTGTGATTTTACAAATTTCAATAGACATGGTACCATTCACTTCATGGTAATATTTTCCTATTACTGAAAAATTCATGTTGAATAGACATGCATTATGTTTATGCAAAATATATCTACATTCACTTCATGGTATAGCTCCTGATTTTGCAAAATATTTCTATTTTGTATTGAATTCATTATATTATGAAAAATTCATTTGCATAATAAAGGGTAATTTGATGTATTTAGACAAATTTCAAATCAGGATAATATAATGATTTAAATTAAAATAGAAATCATGCTTGCTGGCTGGTTAGGGCATGTGTAATGGGGAAATGATTGTAGGCATTTTAGTCTATTTACATAACAAAGGGTAATTTTGGTATTTTTACAAAATATTTAGTCAAATCATTATTTTATCAACTGATAGAGGTAAAAGTTACCGTTAAGGGGATGTCATTGATTTGAAAGTATAAATCAGAAGGTGTGCATTGAAATTTTAGAATCGAGGGAGAGGGTCATTGAATTTAAAGTTAACTACAAAAGGTGTGGATGGAATTTTTCCTTTACTCAACCATTCAGAAGCATAGACATTCACTAATCAATTTTCAGTAGCCGGTCTTGGTGTAGGAGTAAGGTGCAATACGAGTCATGGAAATAGATCTTTCTTTTTTGGCATGCATTGTGGTAGGATTTTGCAAAATTTGACCCCCTCCACACCCAACAATAGAGCGAGTCTTGTGCACTTGTATGCCTTTGAGTACAAGGTTTCATGTCATTTTTTTCTCTGGCGTTTCCTATGCTTAATAATGCTCATGTCGGATTATGAGCATTAGTCACATAACAAGGGTTCCGAGTCCACCCTGTGGGTTGCTTGTTAGGTTCTGCTTGTGCCCGTAGCTACCTTCATCAGGTGTCCCCGATTGAGCTTAAAAATCAGCCTGACAAAACATTACTAATACCTGATTTTGACTGCAAAACTTGCATTGTCCTAGCATTGGAATTTTGTTTGAGTCTGTGCGTGAGCGGTTCAGCCTTTGTTCTCTTTGAAAATGCTTGCTGTATTGTAGCCGTCATCATGGATTTCTAAATCTTAGTCATAATTTTAGTTTATATCATTTCCTGAAATGTGCCATTTGTTGCTTGTCGCTGGACTATAGGCTATAATTTTGATTTTCAAAGAAACACATATCTTTATATTAGGCAGAGTATTTGAATGAAACAAATGCTGTTCATGCAGGGAAAAGTGGGATCTCATCACAGATAATTGTTGTCATTGTTGTTCCAATTGTTGTCTCCTTGTTGCTGATCATCATAGGCTTCTGTTTCCTCGTCAGGAAAGCAAAGAAGAAGAACTACAACACCGTCATGGAAGAAACTGGTAAAAGAAAAGGAAATAAGATGAAAAACAAAAAGGAAAAGAATAAAGAAGTTCATTTCTGCTCTTGCTTGAACCATTTGCTACTTCAATGATTGCATTAATGAATTTCCATACATTTGTTGGTGTAGAAACAAATGATATCACAACAGTTGAATCATTGCAATATGATTTGACTACAATTCAAGTTGCCACGAAGAGCTTCTCCATTGAAAACAAACTTGGTGAAGGTGGATTTGGTAATGTTTACAAGGTAACAAAGGAGTTACTGTACTTCTATAAAGTATGCCGACGATGATCATTTTATTTGTCTAAATTCATAAAATTAATTCATTGATTATTTTACACTCAGGGTACCCTTCCTAGGGGCGAAGAGGTAGCAGTGAAGAGACTCTCTAGAAGCTCGGGGCAAGGTGCAAAAGAATTTAAGAATGAGGTTGTATTGGTAGCCAAGCTTCAACACAGGAATCTAGTGAGACTATTGGGATTTTGCTTGGAAAGAGAAGAAAAGATACTCCTCTATGAATATGTGCCAAACAGAAGTCTTGACTACATTTTATTTGGTTTGACAAATCTTACCCATTTCTAGTTCTTGAATTAGCTGTGTTTAAATTCACAACGCATGGGTTGCATGATAGTACATTTGTTGAACTCAATCAACCCTTCCCCTTCCTCCTCTCCCAATGATTGGGGGGGGGGGGGGGGGGAGAGATTGAGAGTTCATCTTAGAGACACATCCTTGAAAATGTAGAAAATTTCCTTGACAAAGTAGGGAGTGTTCACTTTTTTTATATTTTTGTTAGAAGGATGAGAACATCATTAACATTGGTCAGGGTTGAACCCCAACCTATATTTGGATATTTGGATGGGAGTCAGATACCCCTATAATTAGATATATAGTTGGTGATACTGGGAGTGTTGTTTAGAGCATATTTGCCATTTCAAGATGTAGACATCGATCCTCTTCCTCAAATATTCATGTTTGAGTTGGATTGCATTCTTTTGCAGGCTGACTAAAACCTTTCTCCCCAATGCTAACCTGAATGCCTTATAAATTTTTTTTCCTCAATGTGCAGATCCCGAAAAACAAGGACTGTTGGATTGGTCAAGACGTTACAAGATTATAGGAGGAATAGCGCGAGGAATCCTTTACCTGCATGAAGATTCTCAATTTAGAATTATACATCGTGATCTGAAAGCTAGCAATATATTATTAGATCAGGATATGAATGCCAAAATTTCCGATTTTGGCATGGCAAGGCTTTTTGGTGGGGATCAATCTCAAGGAAATACAAGTAGAGTTGTCGGGACATAGTAAGTTTTTCTTTTTCTAAATAATGATATGAATTCATGGAGGAATTTAAAAATTCTCTTTTTGGCTTATACTCTGACCATTATTCATGATTTTGCTTGCAGTGGTTACATGTCTCCAGAGTATGCAATGCATGGTCAGTTCTCTGTAAAGTCTGACGTGTTTAGTTTCGGTGTGTTAATTCTCGAGATTGTAAGTGGCAAAAGCAATAGCACTTTCTATCAATCAAATTATGCTGAGGACCTTCTAAGCTATGTGAGTGCAACCATATACTGTTAGATTCCTATCATATATTCATCATCTCCAAAGTGATGAACAATATCACTAATCTTGATAATCCATTGATGAATGTTGCAGGCTTGGAATCAATGGAGAGATGGCACACCCTTGGAATTGATGGATCCAACATTCGGAGATTCTTATAATAGAAATGAAGTGATTAAATGTATTCATATCGGTTTATTATGTGTTCAAGAAGATTTTGAAGACAGACCTACCATGGCATCAATTGTTTTCATGCTGAACAGTAACTCAGTTACCATGCCACTGCCTCATCACCCTGCCTTCTATTTTCGCAGCAAAACAGGTTCAAGTATGTCAAAAGATTTGGATTTCGATCAATCTACGAGCAAATCAATTCCATTATCTGTAAACGAAACATCTATTATTGAACTCTATCCCCGATAGAGAGGGCAAGCCAGAAAATGAGATGAACTCATAGAAAACGGGCAAGTCGATGCCATTGTCCGGAAAATATTGGTTAAAAAATTTCAATTATTGTAGGCCAGAGTGATCAGATTCATTACTTGGTTTTGTTTTTCAAAATTCACTCTTCTTACCTTGTGCTATATAGGGGTGATCGTAAGGATTTAAATCATACATAGGCCATATCAAAGATTGTATTTTGTAACCATGAAGTTATTGTATAGTACATCTATAAACTAAAAATGTTGTGAAATTTTGATTCTCATATTAATGTGTGCGGTGACTCAAATTTTATTTCATTTGATAAATTGTGTTATATGTGTGAAATTTAGGGTGTGTTTGTTAATCCAAATTCAGTATTTAAAATGAATATATTTGGCACTTATTAATTAAGTTTGTTTGATAACTAAAATTTAAACTCTTTTAATATGTTAAATACACCTTAAAAAAATACTACAATATTAAGCAAGGGCAGAGTCAGAAACTATGTCTAGGATGGGCACTTAACTAAAATTTTTTTTTTTTTCTTCTAATCAATAAAAATAAAATAATATACTCAAATTTATTATATTTTATTCGATACTTAAAAATTCATAAAATACAAAAAGGGTAAAACTTTGATAAATATAGCATACATAAATAAAAACAAACAAAAAAGAGAGGCTAATTATACTCCATCATAACAAATGAAACAAATTGTATAAAAGATACTATAATATTTCTCCATATATATGAACAAACTATTAATCTTTGATCACTCATTTAATTAAGTAATCTAGTTACCATAATCTCTATAGCTTTTTTTTTTTTTGTTTAATTAGAATCTCTATATCTTAAAACAAATGAGTTCGACATGTCAAAAACTTTTATAGATGTATCTCTAAAGTGTCCAAAGTGAATCAAAAATTTTATAATTATTTAAGTACAGAGACTATACTCATTGATAGAATAAAAAATGATAGAGTGGGCATACTTAAATATACTTCAAATTATTTGAAATTTACATAAGTAATATTTAAAAAAAAAATTGAGGGTGGGCACGTGCCCCCCTAGTCCTCAAGTAGCTCCGCTCTTGATACGAAGTAGGAGGTCTCTTACTTAATTCTGAAAACTAAAAGTGTTTAGTAAAACTATCTTTGCCGGCTGATGAATATATAAACCCAGCGAGCAAGAGACTTCGTTGATAGTGGATGTAGCCTTAGTCCTTCGGCTAAGGTGAACCACTTATATTCCCAATCTAACTAATCACAAAAGATTAATCCGCAATCTGCAAAACCATCTCACATCACCATCCCATCATAGTTGGGCTTGGGCCATAAATTCAGAGAACCATCAGTTGGCGCTGTCTGTGGGAAATGATTTTCATCGTTTTCTTATCTGATTTCTATTTGATGGTTTTAACTCGGAATATGAGTAAAGCTCCTGCCAACCCTTAAGCCCACTAGAACCAACCAGAGAATCCTTTGATCCTCGAAGTGGATGCAGAAAACCACTTCACGACGACAAACCTTCCCCCTCTCGAAGAGATGGATACCTTTCATCGAACCACAATGTAACTTATGAACCAAAACCAGGAGTTGTTAGAATGTATACAGATGCAATAGCTCCCTCCATTCCCACCAGCTCAACAAGAGCTTCCTCCACCACCAACAGGTCACAACGTTTCTCCTCGGGCATGCCAGGCCCCACTGAATGGGGTCACAGAGCTCCACAAACATAGCCATTCTAGAGAAAATCATCGGAGGAGGCACCCCGAAGGACAACACAAGGACGAAGCCCATAGTCGGGCTACAACTGCCTTCCGACAAGACATACTTCATCCCCAGTTTAAAACCGATGATCGCATGTGGGAGTAGAGAATCCGTGAGCTCCAGCAGGAGCTGGGCAACGTGAAAGAAGTGGTTAGAGGAAAGGGCCCCGACACCATGGATGCCCTAGTCCAGCAAACCGAGTTGCCATTTACACTTGAGGTCCTCCATTTCCCTCTCCCTTAGAAGTTTTGGATGCCATCGATAGAGGCGTTCGACGGGACCAAAGACCCAGTCGACCACTTAAACTTCTACAAGAATCAGATGAAACTCCAGGGGTATCTAGATCCGATTCATTGCCGAGCTTTTGCCATTACCCTGAAGGGATCGACAATAGCCTGATTCAATAGGTTACAACCAGCATCAATCTCCTCCTTTAGGGGACTGTCAATACAGTTCGTCTCACATTTCATCAGAGCAAGGACGTACAGAAAGCGTGACGCTTCAACCAGGAATGCCTAAAGGTGAAAAGCGTGAACGATAAATTCGCACTAACCACCTTCATGTCGGGACTCGAAGTGCAGTCTAAGGACCTTCTCTTCTTGATCGCTAAGAATCCTTAGGCTACTATGGTCGAGGTGTTAGCAAAAGCTGAAAAGTACATTAACGGTGAAGAAGCTCTCTGCTTGAAAGAAAATTCGACAACGCCGAACGGGGACAAGAAAAAACGGGACCATAGCTTTAAGAGAGAGAAGAGGGTCGATCGGCCCCCAAGAAGAGGGAGAGAGTTTTCCCCTAAAAGAAGAGGAAATGTCTGAGATCGACTAGGACCTCCTTTGTAGGAGCTGCAGCTGCAATATGCCCCAGCTCGACTCCCACCCCTTGTCACCTCGATCGCTCAAGTCCTCCACGAGGTCCAAAATGAGAGGTTCATCCGGTGGCCACCATAGATGAAAGCTGACCTTAGCAGGCGTGATGCCACTAAGTACTGTGAGTACCACAAAGATACCAGCCACGAGAAAAACGACTGCATACAAGTCAAGAAAGAGAGAGAATATCTGATCCAAAAGGGACACCTGCGCCACTACGTGGCGGCAGATGGAAAAGCTCGGAATAGTCAAGGCCGAGAAGACTGGGTTGTCGCAGAACCCCTTCAGCAACACCAACAAACCCTCGGCGAAATTCGGGTCATCTCTAGGGGATTTGTAGGGGGCGGAGAGTTTAGCTCAGCCAGGAAG